CAAGATATGCCTCGCTAGCTTCCTGAAGAGCCATTACAGCAGAACTCTGGAAGCGAAGATCCGTCTTGAAGTCCTGAGCAATCTCACGAACAAGCCGTTGGAATGGTAATTTACGGATTAATAACTCCGTACTTTTCTGATAACGACGGATTTCACGGAGGGCCACAGTGCCAGGCCTGTAACGATGGGGTTTCTTCACGCCACCGGTAGCCGGAGCACTTTTCCTTGCAGCTTTCGTGGCCAGTTGTTTGCGAGGCGCCTTTCCTCCTGTCGATTTGCGAGCGGTCTGCTTGGTACGTGCCATCGTAACCGTAAAATTCTGAGTGTGTCAGATCCAATAGAGCAAAACTCTGTGTCAAGTCAGACTGTGAGTTTGTCCGACCTGCTCCTGTATTATATACAGTACCGGAAAAGTGCACCGCGTTTGATTGGTCACTGCTTCAGGAGTGGGGTGAGCCAACAAGGTAGACGGAGAACGCTCCTATTGGTGGATGCCGTCAGAGTGGGGCGCGTTGGAGCCGTCAGGGAATAAAATCGGCTGGTTTCTATGATGAGCCACCAAAATCGTTTGGCACTTTCTTGAGTGTACGTACGACGATTAAAAGCAAACCATCATGACTGGCCGCGGTAAGGGAGGAAAAGGATTGGGAAAAGGAGGAGCAAAGAGACATCGTAAAGTACTCCGTGATAACATCCAGGGAATTACCAAGCCGGCCATCCGTCGCCTGGCACGTCGTGGCGGAGTCAAACGTATTTCCGGATTGATATATGAAGAAACACGTGGTGTCCTGAAGGTGTTCTTAGAAAACGTTATTCGTGACGCGGTTACCTACACCGAGCATGCAAAAAGAAAGACTGTGACTGCCATGGACGTCGTCTACGCCTTGAAACGTCAAGGAAGAACCTTGTACGGCTTCGGCGGTTAAACGTAGACAGTTTTTACTTGTATACAATCGGCCCTTTTCAGGGCCACCAAAACTTTCAAACGTTGTATTATTTCTCGTTGCAGCAATTTTTGAGAGTTAAGATTTAGAATTAAGATAAGTATTAATGTTCAAAAAGGCTAACTTTATATTTGTATGCTTTATTTTCAAATTCTATAGTGTGTGCATTGCATCCATCTTTCATATTCGTCAAACATTTAAAATAAATTAAATAAAAAATAAAAACAAGCGGGTCTATTTTTTTCATTACATTTTACTTTCAAATATATTTTTGGATACTTTTGTAAGCGGTAAGTCGTTTGCAATTTTTATATTGAAGGAACATTTCTACGAAACTACCTTCATGAATATGAAATAGATATCTCAATAATGGAAAACAGTTGTAAAATAAAATATATTTACTTCAGCACTTTGATCAAGAAGAGGACTTTATTTACAATTAAATCTACCGCATTTGTTTATCCATCCTTTTGTTCACATACTAAACAAGTCTATACCTTCAGAAAGTAATGTAATTGCACGCAGCTATTTATGATAAATTCTAAGACAAACGTATGAATATTATTTATAAAATATATACCAATTATTATATAATCTATTTTAAATAAATGTTTGAATATTTTTAAAGTTAGAAAAATTTGGATACTTTTAAAAACTATTTGGAAAATAGTTTCTCTGTATTATTTTTCTCAAATTTAACAAAACTAATTTATTAATATTTTAAATGTTTATTAATATTTTAAATAGAATAATTTCTTTTAAACATAGTGCCATATTACAAATAATTAAAAAAAAATATTTTTTAAATATTACTCCATTTTTAACATTGCTCCATTTTTAATATTGCTCCATTTTTAATATTACTCCAGTCGTTTCAACATTTACGGTCTTCATTTCTGCACGTATTGCATGTAGGTATTTAAACTATTTGTAACGTCTAAACGTTTAGCATAATTTTTTCATCAAATTTTATTATTTTTTAAGAAGAGAACAAATTTGCACAAAGAAAATTTTAAGATGATCTTGTCGTTTTATATTTTTTCTTCGTTTTATATTCTAAAATGATAAAGTAATAATTGTTAAATAAACGAGATTAAAAGATTATGTAGCAATTAAGGTTTCGTAAATATACTTTTACAACAAATATGATTTTTACAATAAATATGATTTTTTATCTAGAGATATGAATATCTCTTTTTATCTAGCATTCGATCACTTATTATAAAACCGGACCATTGAATAAAACTGAAAAATTTCAATAAATCTTTTAAAAATTAACAGAAATATACATCCTGATCGTTATGACTGCAATTCAATTTTGATCTGTTCGAAACATTAATTTCTAAATATTTACATAACAAAACTCTGTTAAAAGTACAGTATAAATTTAAAATATTGGAATAATTTCGAACTGTTCGCAACCGAATTCTTATTGCTTATCTTGCTTATTGATTATTTAAGAAATAATGTCATAAATATTAATAACAGAATAATATTAAGAATTTATATATAAATTCAGTGACACACACACTACCGAATTAGTATACATTAAAAGCTGCTTTAAAATAACATTTAAATACGGTAAACATAATATAATAAACTTCGACAATGAAATAAGAAATAATACACAAATATTCTGTTAAAGTCACAATATTATTTAGTATTCAACCGATTAAATTATTTATGTGTTAATAATCAGTGTAATATAAGTTATGTAAGCGACGGAATTCGCCACGGACAATATTTTAAAGTATTTAAACTTAGTAATTTCGATCAAAAATATGAAATGTTCAAAAAATAAAAGTCGCTTTAATTTATGCTTTAATGCTTTATCTTATTACGTATTAAAGACGGGGATATGGATACAGATTATTAGAGAGCAAAACAAAAGATTTCCACGTTTTAAGAATTTGTTGGCCCTGAAAAGGGCCGATGTGCGAATGGAATGCGTATTGAATTGCTTCACTTGGAACTAGTATACTTGGTCACTGCTTTAGTTCCCTCGCTGACTGCGTGCTTCGCCAATTCTCCAGGTAAAAGAAGCCTCACTGCAGTTTGTATCTCACGAGACGTGATCGTCGATCTCTTGTTGTAGTGCGCCAATCTCGACGCCTCGGCGGCAATTCTCTCGAACACATCGTTAACGAAACTGTTCATGATGCTCATGGCTTTGCTGGAAACTCCGGTATCGGGGTGGACTTGCTTCAACACCTTGTAAATGTAGATAGCATAGCTCTCCTTCCTCTTGCGCTTCTTCTTCTTGTCGGTTTTGCTGATGTTCTTCTGAGCCTTGCCCGCCTTCTTCACCGCTTTACCACTAGCTTTCGGTGGCATGTCGAAATCAGTTGTAACGAAACTCTCTGCGTAGATGTGAACTCAACGAAGTCAGAGCGTCGATTGATTTTCTCGGCGTCTTGCGCTCTTTATATACGAAACGGAGTAGCCACGCGACGACCAATCACATCGCGCAGCTTTGCCGCGATAGGTCGACCTCGGTCTCATTGGTGCGCTGTAGAAACAACTGTCTCACGTTTTTGACGTTGAGCTAAAACTACAGGATACTCAGGTTAAACTTTGTGTCAAAATAATTTATTGAACAACAAAATGGACCTGACAATTCAATAACATTCGTCTTAATGTAACACGTAAAAATGTATCAAAATTACGTTAGATTGTTAAACTGTACAATTTCTAATAATTCGTCGACGCGAAACATACCTTTCACACAGTTAAACAATTAAATTTACGTGCTTCAATATAATTTAACGTAATGTGTGCTACAAAATTGCATGTTTCAGATATAATTATATTGAAATGAATTACATATAATTTCATAATGAAGTTCGACATGTAAATTAAAGGAATCATATTTTGTGAAGCTTTATATATAATTTCAATTATTTTTTCTAATATTAATAGAGAGAATAATTATATGCTTCAAAGATTATATAAAACGTAAATGTAAATAAATATTAGAATTTTATTTATGATGTAAAAATTGTGAATAGCACAAAGTAACCATCTTTCTTTGTCTGATCACATTTGACGCTCGAACAAAGGCAGGACATTCCTACTCTTCCAACGCCATTTCGTGATACGTTATGTTGAGAATCGAGACGATTTCACATGTGTCTTACGCGATGTTAAAATATGTCCAAATATTTGCTGTTTTTGTTTATATAGATAAATACTTTAAATAATATATAGATAAATTATAGATAAATAATATAAAGAAACAGCAAATAAGATAAGAATATTGGAAATTAAAAAAAAATGTAATATCTATTATATATATATATATATAATTCTTGTTTCTATTAATATTTGTTATTTTATATATTTAGCAAAATTTACAAAGCGATAGAGAGAGATCGCGAAATAACTAGAAAAGATAACTAATGATATTCATGAGCAACTCAGAAATTTAAAACTTAAATATTTATTTTAATATCTCTAAAATGAGATATTAAACGTTTGAATTTCTAAGCCAAACAAGATATGCTTCGCAAGTCAACCGATAAAATGTAACCAATTTAATTTTAAATGTTTGAATTATAGCACAAAGTTGTAAGATATCAAAATATAATAAAGTCGCAATATTAGTTTCACACGAAAGACTATTGATCTATTATTACAAATAAATAAATGAAGTGAAAGCCTTATTCGATTAAAGCAGATCTCGGTGCTCAATATTTTAAAATGAATTTTAATTTTTAATTCACGCAAAGCATGCAAACTGCGCATCCATTGTTTGTTTTAAAACATAATCCTAAACTGAAACTGGAATAGTACAAACTAAATTGACAAGCAATTAAATAATATTAATATCAACTAGTATCTTAAACTACTGTCAAGAAACTAAATAAATTACGTAAGTAGTAATAGATAAGCAAATAAATTAAAGAGAATCTCATTTTTAAAAATCGATCTTGATGCTTAATAATTATATAAATTCATAAATATAGTTTTTTATTTCTAGAAACTGCACGTCAATGTGGTTTATCGAATTTAACTTACTGCTAAATGTGGATAGGAAAATGATATAAACATTAGGGATAGCGAGGTATTGTAATGCTCAACAGAGTATGCCTTCGTTAAAAAAATTTTGTGGCCCTGAAAAGGGCCATTTGTATCAGATGCCAGATTACGATTATGCCTTCTTCTCGGTCTTCTTGGGTAGCAATACGGCCTGGATGTTCGGCAAAACACCACCTTGGGCAATGGTCACACCGGACAACAGCTTGTTCAACTCCTCGTCATTGCGGATGGCGAGTTGCAGGTGACGAGGGATGATCCTGGTCTTCTTGTTGTCACGAGCGGCGTTGCCAGCCAACTCCAAAACTTCAGCGGCCAGATACTCCATTACTGCAGCCAGGTAGACCGGTGCACCAGCGCCGACGCGTTCAGCGTAGTTTCCTTTCCTCAGCAAACGATGGATACGACCCACGGGGAACTGCAATCCCGCCCTGTTGGACCGAGACTTCGCCTTTCCCTTGACTTTGCCACCCTTTCCACGACCAGACATGTTGCTCGATTAACGAATACGGTACGGATATACTTTCTTCGAGAGAAGCGAGAGATTTGTGACGTTTCGCCGGCCGAGCACTCCCTTTTATACCTGGTGAGGACAGCGGACTCCCCACCAATCGGCGCGCACAGCTGTTCTCCGACCTTCTGATTGGTGCGCTGTAGGTGCCGCGGAGTGATATATATACGATAGCTTGGTCTCTGCTCCAACTCATTTTTCCCGTGCACATCGAGAACGCCGTATAGTGGTTTCATCCGCAAGCTTTTTCCGATCGTACGACAAAATGCCTCCTAAAGCAAGTGGCAAAGCCGTGAAGAAGGCCGGTAAGGCTCAAAAAAATATTAGCAAGACTGACAAGAAGAAGAAGCGTAAGAGGAAGGAGAGCTACGCCATTTACATCTACAAAGTATTGAAGCAAGTACATCCGGATACCGGAATCTCCAGCAAAGCTATGAGCATTATGAACAGCTTTGTCAACGATGTATTCGAGAGAATCGCCGCGGAAGCGTCGAGATTGGCGCATTACAACAAGCGCTCAACGATCACCTCTCGGGAGATCCAGACGGCTGTGAGACTTCTGTTGCCCGGTGAATTGGCGAAGCACGCAGTCAGCGAAGGCACGAAAGCGGTGACCAAGTACACTAGTTCCAAGTAAATTGGAATTGACGAGAAAAACGGCCCTTTTCAGGGCCAACAAAAGTTCCGACGTTGACTTTTCTCTGGATTTTGCTTCTCAAATTTTATTCTACACACAGAACATACAAGATATTTATATATCATAAACTGTTTCATATCGCGAATTTGATGCCAAATGTATGATTACCTGATACAAAAGTTTACTTATTTGAAAGATGCGTCTCCTCATCTGTCTATTAAAAATTAATTCTCTAATCTTTAGGATGCAAAATTGTTTTGAGTCTAAAAAATCGAAATATGATATCCATGAAACAATTTTCATTTATTTTTATTTAGTTTTTGATTCCTTTTTGTTTGTATATTTATGCCGCAGTGAAATAAACTATAAAATACATTATAATTAAAGTTTAAATTATATGTATTATAAAATATAATCCCCCATTTAACATTAACTAAAAGTATTTATATTATAACTCACATTCAACAATATAAATCTAATATATATATATATATATATGTTACATAATAGTTAATAACATTAAATATTGTAGATATCCTTTTAGTTCGTGTCGACAGATGTTTTCGTTTATATTATAATAAAATTCTTAGACATAGAATCTCTGCAATAATTTTACATTTTTGCTTCAAGTAATTCGGACAAACAGCATTAATGTATATTTTTCTATTCATATTGAGTTAAATTTAATCTTTTAATTATCGATAAATTGTCAAGTGTATTTACTTCGTTTGTGGAAAATACACGATATGTATCACAAATTTTGTATTCTAATAACAGATAAATTCGAGTTTCTCGCCTTATTTGTCGTCGTTATGACTTGCTGAAGGAAGAGAGAGCATGCCGTTCGATTCTAACATAGGATTGTCAGTCACGAATTGTAGGTCGACAGTACTTCTTTCTCCGGCAAGAAGTAGCCGTGAAAGTAAAATTAACAAACTAACGACTGTATTTATAGGTAGATGCAGGTTGAATTTTTATGTTCAGCACTGCAAAGATTATGGTACTTTCATACAAATGTTTGATTATCCAGACCGCAACTGTGCCGTTCTCGAAGTAGACTCCGAACAATTAAATAATTGCGTAACGCACGTAGAGTTATAGAATTGCGTGTTTCGCGAAACTTAAAAAGTCGAGATTATCTAATTTGAATATTTCGGTAACGCCGTGACGTGGAACGTGGCGTGAAAACTATTGATAAAAAAGATACCGCATTGTGTTATCTCGCAAGAAGTCTCACGCTGCAGTCGAGTCGATGCATTTAACAATCGATTATAATGCGACAGAGAATAATATTCCATAAGTTCATTTTGCACAGGCAAGTGTCTTGATTCTCGTCGAGCTCGAGACCGAATGCGTTTCGGGGAAACGTTTCGTTTATGTTTATTTTCATTTTCCAGTCGTACAGTTGCTTTTCGTCCTAACCTCTCAAAAATTTCCAAGTGTACAAATTCAAATCGCGGTATGGCAACAGACATGAAATTCCTGTCGGAGTCGAGAGCCGATTTAAGAGATATCTTCCGTTCCGCCGTGAAAGCGGTGTCGCCGAACGAAATTATAAGGAGGAGGGTGAAACTCCGAGGTAACGCTTTGTATGTCGACGAGAGGAGCTTCCCGCTTAAAGGGGACGTTTATCTCATCGGATTCGGTAAGGCGGTTATGGGAATGGCCGTGGAGCTCGAGCGAGTGCTCGGCGACACTTTGAAGAAGGGCATTGTCAGCGTGCCGAGTATGTCGAGGGACGCTATGTGGGCCTCCGAAGATAAATCTAGCTTCCCTAAGTTGCACAACAGTAGGATAGACTATCGCGAAGGTGGCGTCAACAATCAACCTGATGATAGATCGTTAGACACTACGCACGACATTGTAGACCTGGTCGAAAAGTTGACCGAGATGGATACTCTGGTAGTATTAGTGTCAGGTGGAGGCTCCGCGTTGCTGTATATGCCGAGGCCCGTCCTGATTCAAGAAGACAAGTTGGAACTTTGTAAGAAGCTCCAAAACGCAGGTGCCGATATCACCGAGCTTAACATCGTGAGACAAAAGCTGTCTCTGGTAAAAGGCGGTGGTCTGGCACGTATGGCCTATCCTGCATCCGTTATTACGCTGATACTATCCGATATTGTCGGTGATCCCGTAGACTTGATCGCCAGTGGTCCTACTGTTTATAATCCGAGAACACCGGAGCATGTTATTGCTATTTTAAAAAAGTATAACTTGTTTCAGTCACTTGAGGGTAATTTAAAGACTGTCATAACGTCCAAGGAGCCGTTTAATGACAAACCGTTATTAAATCCAGTTACAGCTAAAACTGCCATTAAACAGTTCAAACACGTGACGAATATAATTCTAGGAAACAATACAGTGGCTCTTGAAGCTGCAAAACTTGAAGCTTCGCGCAAAAAGTTAACTCCAATAATCTTAAAGAATAATGTCACAGGAAATGTACAAGATGTTAGTTCAGCATATGTTCACTTAACAAGTCTGATATGTCTCGTTTTGCTAAATGAGCTGGAGAGAAAAGAATTTTACGACAAAGTACAGACTATGCCAATACTTTCATTATCTATTGACAAAATCGACGAAATCTTTCATCATCTTATTGGCAATCTCGATGGTATAGTTTTAATCGCAGGTGGAGAACCTACGGTTGTGGTAACAGGTCAAGGAAAAGGCGGCAGAAATCAGGAATTAGCTTTACGTTTTTCACTAGATTGGCTAGCAAAAACCAAAACTTATCCGCGACTTGTCGAGTACGATGTGATGATGCTCAGTGCAGGTACTGATGGTCAAGATGGTACTACCGATGCAGCAGGTGCATTTGGTTATTCTACCATTGCGCCCATAATGCACGATTTTTACGCAAAAATTAAATCTATGACTACCAAAGAAAATGCACAGGCGAAACAGGAAATAATGACAGACAGAAAAACGCAGGATTCGTACAGACGACAGCAAACGAGTAGATTTGTAGCAGAATCTAATGTTGAACAAAAAGGACAAGATTCCAGTAGTACAATAGAAAAGTCTTCTCGAGATGTTAATGAACATATCGATCATTTAGTATTAAAGACAATGGAAGTAGAACGCATGTTACCTGAAAATGTCTTACAAGAAAACGATACGTACAATTTTTACTCGCGCTTCAAGAAGGGAGCGGATTTAGTTAAAACGGGAAAAACTGGCACTAATGTTATGGATTTGCATTTTATTTATATAAAAAAACGGCCGTGCAAGTGTGAGATTGATTCCTCTGACAAACCAACATATGAAGAAGATATCTTGGACGTACATGATTTACACATTGACGCATTGACTATTGAAAAGTACAAGGCTGCATGTGCTCCCTTAAAATTTGATAAAGACGAATTTTTACAAACTCCACCTTTAACTACTGAAGCGGAAAAACCGTTTCTAAAAATTATTGATGAAAATTTTACAGATACGTGTACTAAAAAACGTAAACTTGATTAATTAAAAATACATCAAGAATATATCTATAAAAAATCCTACGTTATATCATTATTACATAATTACGTTGTATAAAATAAATTACATGTTCAATATTTCACTTTGGAAGAAAATAGATAATTTACATTTTGTAAATACTGAAAACTTTTAAATATATATAAAATATTTCAATTATATTTGTGTATCAAGAAGGCACTGCTTAAAAATAAATCTTTTAGGCTACATTCCAAAACGTCCTCTACAAGGAAAATTTTACTCGATAATATAATATTTGTACTATACGTTACACATGTATTATATTTTGAGTAAAATTTTTCTCGAAGAGGACGTTTTAGATTGTGGCTTGAAATTATAACATTACTACATAACATATCTATTTGCTTGAAGATATGACAATATATATTCTGTATCATACATAGATATCTACAGAGACCATATAATATATATTTGTATATATGTGTTATATTGTTTGTTGACTATATCGACATTTTTTCTTATGACGAAAAAATATAAAACTAATATTTCATAAAGGAATATATAATTACGTAGTAACATTTATATAATTAGACACAATACACAACTTTGGTAATCTAATACTTTCTATTCCAATATTTTTATTTCATAGATATATGTTTTTCTCTGTCAATTATTTTGGTATAGATACAGATTACTTTGATAAGGACTGTCAAAAGCTTCTTAAAATATTATTTGCTTGCTTATCTAAAAAGAAGAAAATAAATTTAATATATAAGTAAGGTCTCTTCTACTATTGTTTACTAAATATCTGTGCATATAAATAAATATAAACTTTCTTTTATAACGTTTGTAAATTATGTTATATAGTGATAGAGATTATTCATTTTTTTGTACATTATATTTCTTAGTCATTAGTGTGCATTAAACTTCAATCTAAAAATTTTAGATGCTAAAAATCTTTGCAATTAAGATTGCTGTTATTTATAAAAATTTTTTTTAAATCAAAATATATATTTCGATATACCCTGACATTTTTATTATAATTAAATTAGAGACTAGAGAGAAATGGAAAATTAAATCCCAAGTTTTTGGACGAAAAGCAGAAGATTGGCATAACCTTATTAACTATCTTATTTGCTAAAGATCCCAACTAAATAAATGATGTTTGACTAGCATATCGCGAACTCCATCTTTTAAAGGCTGTGATTGTTCCTTTTTGGGTGGTAGTTCCCAGTCGGGATTCAAGTTAAATGCAAATTGACTTAATATTCTTAACTCACATTTTATTTGCACCCAACCTGGACTATTTATGAAGCTCCACGGTTGATACCTAAACATTATATATATTATTATATATCGTAACAGAAAATAAATATTATTGAATAGCACACACGGATAATTTGTTTATACTTACCACTTTTGCACTACTTCTACACAGGAACATAAGACTTCCAGCCATAAATGAAGCACTTGTTCGTTTAAACCGAGACAAATGAGAGAACGCAATTTCACATCCATTTGAGCGTGTGCATTGTCGTGTGTTAAATTTACAGATTGGACACAACGATATAATAACTGAAACATTTTCTTTATTATTCACTGAATGTAGAAAGCCTAAGAAAGAAACGTTAATAGGTCTGTTTGCGTTGCTCG